TTCATTTCTACTGACAATTGTAACAAAAAATCACAAAATTTTAATTTATTTTTAGTGAAAATTAAAAAAAAAAGCATTCAAAATTTTTTTTAAAAAAATTTGCAGTTCTTTCTAATCTAGAAAGTAAAAAATAAAATAAAAACAAAAGTAGTTTTTATTATTTTCCAAATACCTTATTTTTTTAAAAAACATTTAAGGAAAAAAAAAAACTAAAAAAGTAATTTTCAAACCAATTTTTGTATCTAAAGATATTGTTGACCAAATATGCAAAAACGAGATGGGTTGTTATCCAACGACATATTATTAATAAGTTATGTGTTAAAATTTAACCCTTCGTTTTTTACCTTAAAAAAATGAACTGAAAGTTATGGTCAAGCTAATGTCTTTGGCAGCCAACTTCCCAAATCACTTATAAAAAAGCAAAAAAGCTTAGTAAAAAGTCAAAAGTCAGTCTTTTACCAACTTCTCAAAACAACCCTCAAGTAAAAAGTACCTTTTTTTTTTAATTTTAAAAAATGATTAGTTTTGGTAAAAATGCAGACTTTTATCCCCCTCTTTTTTTTTTGCTTATGTGTACACTACAAGAAAAGTGGGCTTATAAGACGGAACTATTTGCGACGGCACACTTGCTATCTCAAAAAGTCACTTTTTGTGACGGCAGAAAATGCCGTCTCAAAAAAACAGAGTATTTGCGACGGCAGAAAATACCGTCTCAAAAAAAGAGGGTATTTGCGACGGCAGAAAATACCGTCGCAAATACTTTCCTTTTTTGAGACGGCAAATTGTGCCGTCGCAAATACTCTGCTTTTTTGAGACGACATTTTTTGCCGTCACAAAAAAGTAGCTTTCGTGTTTTTTTTTTTTTTTAGTGAATATTTTTAAAATTTTAAATATTTTTTTTAGATGCACCTTACTTAGATGTATCTAAAAAATAAAAAATTTATGAAAAAATATTTTTAAAAATTAATAAATACATAAAAATACAAAAAAAAATGTATTGAATTATTGTATTTTTTTTATATTTTTGGTATTTAGTGAATTTTTATTTTTATAATTGTTTTACTTTTTAGGTGTATTTTATGTTAGGTGTGTCTAAGAATTAAAAAAATTACTTAAAATATTAAAAAAATTCAATAAAAACAATATAACACGGAAAACAATAAAGTATAATTTTCTCAAAAGAGTTTTTGGAAAACTCTACCCTAGCATAGTGATCATATATATACAGTCATAAAATGGTTTGAATAAATTCAACGGTATTTTTCTGTCGCAAAAAAATTTAAAAAAACGATGTCGTCTTACTCTTTTGATAGAACATTTCTTTTTTCATTCATTTTTTCATCTTCCTGTCTCTTTGTCTCTATCTCTGTCTCTTCTCTTTATCTCTTTCACTCATCACTCTTCTTTCTCTATCTGTCTGTTTCTCTCTCTCCTTTTCTCTCTGTGTCTCTCGCCTATTTCTCTTCTCTTTATCTCTCTCATCTGTCTTCTCTCGCTCATCTCTCTTCTCTCTCTCTTATCTTTCTATCTCTCTCTATCTCTCTTCTCTCTCTGTCTCTCTCTCTCGCTTATCTCTTTTCGCTCTATTTCTCTTTCTTTTTGTCTATCTCTCGCTCATCTCTTGTTTCTCTCTCTTTTTCTATCTCTCCATCTATCTCTCTCTCTCTCTCTATCTCTTTTTCTGTCTATCTCTCTCTCTCTGTCTCTCTCTCACTCACCACTCTTCTCTTTCTCTCTCTCTGTCAGCTTGTCTGTTTGTCTATTTCTTCCTCGCTATGTTCGCATTGCTCACTCTCTCCCTCTCATCTTCTCTATTTATCGAGCTCCTTCTTGATTTATCGATCTACTATAAGAAAATACACTTTTAGCAACCACTTTGTCTCTCTCTCGTTCATTACTATGTCTCTGTCTCTATCTCTTTTCTTTATCTGTCTCTCACAAAATTAAAATATTTTTAAAATATTTAAAATATTTAAAAAATTGATTTGAATTAAGTTTTGAAAAGAGATTTAAATTATGTATTTGGTTATGAGTTTTGAAAAGTGATGATTATATTTTGAATTGAGTTTTGAAAAATGGATGTAGAATTATGATTTGAAAGCTTAAAACAAACACCATACTTAAATCAATGGGTGGAACTATGACCACCACCACTACTGCCACTACTACTACCATTACCTCTCATCCACCATCGCCACTCCATCTCCTCTACCACTACCACAACTTCACTACTAATCTCCTTTGCCTCTAGCAGAATTATTATTAGCAGGAGCAGTCTTTTCACTGTCAATGGTGGAGGTTGTGTCAAGAAGAATTGAAGCATCACAGCCCTTCATTAGAATCA